TCAACGTCTCGGCATTCATATTGTGACGTAACTTTAGCATATTTACACGAAAATGGTATTCAAATCAATTTCACGGTTGGTTTAGTATAGAATGAAAGCTATGGAGATAACAAAAAGTATTCAAGATCGAGTGTCCATAAAACAATACAAATAAGGGGTATGGCAGAGCAGACACGGACCTCCAAAACATCAGAGATGGGATCAGGTGTGATGGAGGTGTGAGCATTCCCTGCCGACCGGTCACAACAGTCATGTGCTTCTTGTCAGGATCGGGAAATAACAGGAAATCAGGGGACAATTCAGTGTACGTAAATAAGGAACTAACATTTAGGATGAAAAACGTCAGTCAGCATTTGACTCTATGATAATGACTTTCAACGAGACTTCTGTATTCGCACTCTTATTCTTGTATTAAACAAGTATATCAACTTGTTTGTCAATAAGGTACCTTCTTTTAGAAACTGTTCATACATAGAACATGTTTTTGCGTATCGAATCAACTGAGATATATACACTACGTACGCAGGTGATGGAAGTATTATATTGCTGCATTAATAAGGGAAATTGACGATGGAAAAGTCAATGTCAGCATGTTGGTTTTTTAGTTAAAAATGTACAATTTTGAAATATTATGAATAAACAAAAAATATGAATATACAAATCACACAAATATGATAAAATAGATGACATAATATCTAGATAATTATGTTTTCAAATATGCGGTTCCAGTCATTCCATCTTCTTTTATACACATGTAGTTCATTTTTAACCTTATATAGTTTTTCTTCAAATTTATAATACACATACAAGTATTTTAGGACAATTTGAATAGTAATACTAAAATGTTGGTTTTTTCTTGATTGTTGAAATATGTATTGTTTAATAAGTAACAATATAAGATTGATAGCTGTGTCTTCTGTTGAAGAACCAAGTATAACTGTACATAAATCAAATTTTATTATTTTCCAATTTTTTCAAATATCCATTCTTCTAAAAGAAAACATATTGGGTTTGTTTTGGGACAATAAAAGAAAATATGTGTAATTGATTCAACAGCTTGCTGACATTGAGAACATAGCTCATTTTCCTTAATTTTAGACAAAAATAAGTACTTATTTGTATTTGCCAGGTGTACAATATTACATTTTGTTATCTCAGTGAACAGTGGGATCCAATCAGATTTTGTAAATAATAATGTTTTGAAACAAGTCATGTTAGTCATAGAGCCTGGCTGCCAGAAAATACTACAAATGTACAAACATCTAATGTTAAGTTGAATACCACACCGAGTGTTTTCTTCTTTTCACAAATATGATTCTGGACGAATTCTGATCCATAAAAATACAAAAAAGAGTCTGCTTATAAGGGAGTAACATTGATACCCATGGGTATTCCAACAGATTATTGAAAGACTCGGTCTCAAATAACCACATTGGTATTATCAATCGGAGAGTAAAGCATCTTTTTAAAACATTCTATTGCATGCACATACTCTGTTTCAACTGAACCACCTGGTGTGCTTTGATCAAATATTAAAAAGAATTCAAGACTGATCAATAGATTATATCTTTCAGGAAAAGCTAAGGCTGCATATTGGCCAAAGAATTTGTATTGCGATATTTTTAACTGTAATGCACATTTTTAAAGTGTTTAAAATAGCATTTTCTTACTGTATTAACTTTAATTTCACAAAGAATGTACATAACTATGATAAGTAAGCAAAAGAAAATAAAATCTTGTTGTTTTTATTAAATTTTTGTTTTGAAATACACCCATAAAACAGTTTCTGTCTTAATGTTTGGCTTAATAACAAACCATTTTGTATATTTGTTCTTATATCTAATGATAAAATTCCTTAGTCAAAGCATTTGCAGTTATATCGATATTATCATAAACGTATTGCGATACGATATAGTTTTTTGTTGTATGGCAATATACAGAAATATCAATATTTTTGCCCAGCCCTAGGAAAAGCATTACAGTTAAATGAAATATCAAAGTTATTAATAGAATTGTACATTAAATGAAAGCTAATGACCCTCCTTCCGACTATGCCACTATTACTGATCGTCAATTCTTTAATACAAACCAATGATCAAGTTTGGCTTTAGAAGATAAACCTTAAAGTTGCGTCTGGTTAAACACATTTAATTGGAATATACTATGCATCATATGATTTTTGACTAAGTTAGATGAAACTTGTTGGTGAAAAATGTCATTTATGGCAGACAAAAAGCTGCAAAAAACACACACAATATTACATATCAATAAATAAATAGTAGGGGTCCATGTGACAAAACATACTCAGCATTAGCAAAAAATAGAAAATTAACTCAATTTTCATTCACAAATTATAATGTGAACTTCCAGATATTTATGTCATACCAAAATGTACTTCCACCTTTTCCCAAATGCAGTTTATCTGGAAAAAGGGTTTATATAATCAAAAGGAATCAAAAACTATTTTGTAATGCACAACAAATGTGCCTACTTTAAATCTTAAAATACACATTGCTTCCAAGTCTTTCCAGAAGCATCAACACATTTATTAGATGTTTTCTAGTATCTCAGACATACATACACTTTACGTGCTTTGCACATTTATGACTTTCAGTTCATTCAGAAAATGCCTTAAATGAAAATGCTCCTATGATCTATAATTAACTGTATGCAGCTTTAAGGGGTACCGACCCTCTGATATGACAGATAACTCTCAGAGACAGTCAGAATACAAAATATGAATACTACTCACAGTTTTCCTAATCATAGTTTCCTAATTTAGACCTCTGAGTAGTCAATTCAATGAAATCGAACCTGTGATGGAAACATTACTTTCTATTTCTTTTGCCAATCTCTTACTAATTGTTTAATTATATTTAACAATAAAACATTTAAATCCTACTTCAAAAGCATTTTAAATTGAATAAGTTGTATTTTTGAAAAGACCATTTTAATAATGGTTTAATGTTTCAAGTACTTAATACAGAATTTTTATAAGTATGACTTTTTTTTTTCTTATGAAGAAATCTTTAGAAGAAAGATAACTCCTCCTCACAGATGTATTTTTTTCTTACAACCATATACAACATTGTAATTTTCTGACTTAGGAAGCATCGCTTCATGATGTTTTCTGAAATGATTTTAATAGGTATTATACTAAGTATAATTTTCATATAGACCTCATATTTCAAATTAAATGTTATGATAATAAATCGTTACTGTTTCTGTTCTCTATGTTGAAATTTCTTCATATCATGATCTGACATAAAAATCATTTCTGAAAAAATAAGCTGCGCTTCTTACATCAAACTATTTTGCATGTGGCTCTAATGTTATTGTTGTTCATGAAAATCAACATTAGAAATATTAAATTTTCTGAGTGAAATTTGATAGCAGAGGGTCGGGACCCCTTAAATTTGCCTATTCACAGTTCTGTTTAAGACATAATATAGTCTTCTTTGAATTTGCCCAAATGTAACAATTCAGGGTGAATGGGCAAAAATAAAACTGGGTGAAAATTTTCGTGTATACAGAATTGAATACTTTAGCTTATTTTATTTTAATGTATAATTATTACACATTTTCTCTCTCATTTAAATACATTTATAATATTTTACAATAGATTGGTGCTTTATCACATAATGGGTGTTAATAAGTTCAACTCTTATGAATTTTACCCCATTCAGTTCTGATAAAAACATTATATTCCAATCTGAAGAGTAATACTTCATAAAAATGAAAATAAACTACAGAACTTTATATTTCATCAAGCTTTACAGCCCTGTTGATGGTAAATACTTAGTACTCTATTCCTTATATGTTAGATCATATACTTTAAATGTTTTTATAAGATTCAGATTTTGGTAATTTTTCATTTCCTAAAAACATTTCAAAGCTGCACTTCGAGATGAATGCCAGTTTTTCCTTTTGCCGTACACAGACACGGAGCACGTATTTCACCAGTCATTTTCGTCACTGTCACCGTCGTCCAGTCTACTCTGTCGTACAGCCAAGTCCATGACATCGTGGATTTCACGTTTTGGCGGTCCCTCCAAGTCCGTCTTCAAAACTCCAACCTCCGATAACATCCACTCCAGCTCTACAACAGAACATAAAAGACACTTATAGCAGCACAGATATCAGAATCTTTTTCTTGATGATTTTATTTAAATTATAGTGCAGCAAACCTTGTTATTTAGAACTCAGTGAGACACAGGGAGAATTCTGAGTTTTGGATCCCCCCCCCCCACCTTTGCTATTGTCCAAGAAGTCAACATTTTATAAATGAAACTTAAAATCAAATATAGAAGCTATTTAAATTACTATTAAATAATCAAGGAATCACTCTTTAGTACAGAATGCCAAGGCATCAATAGTGGGAAACATGGGATAATCTGTATAATGGGCAAAGCCCGTTTATGCATAAATTATCCCATGTTTCCCAGTATTGTTGATGTCCCTGACATCCTTAACTAACTTGACAATGATTCCTTATATTTCCATTTCACTGTGAAATAAAATTGTAGATTTAGACTAAATGTAGATAGATTTAAAATACAAGAAGTCTCCCTTGCAAATTTCAATAGTCCTCGCCCACTGACGTCAAACACAAAGGCAGTCGCATGAGATTTACATGCATATTTGGCCTCCTAGCGTCAGACACAGAGACAGTTTTGCATGAGATTTGCATGCATACAGTACAAGGCCTCCTTAGCTCCTAACCTATTGTCCTGCCTAATTTACATTCCGGTAGAATTATTAAGAAATCAACTCCGCTAACTTTCAAAGAGATATCACAGGGAAAAAAGTTAGAGATGGAAATAATACAGTGTATTTTCTTATTCTGCTAATGTGAAACATAAACAGACTTCATATTACATATCCTGGACACTCACAGTGAGCTAAAACTAATAGTTACGACATTCTTTACATATACATGTAGTTATGTGCTATTTATAAGAATAGCAAGGTACAACCAAATTAATTTTATTTATGTTGAAATTCACAAAATTATAACATTTTTGTGAAAAACAGATATTTATTTTACATCCAATAAAATTTCCGCCTTTTTCCCACATGCAGTTTATCTGGAATTTGCAGACTGGAAAAAGGACATGTCTAAGCATAAGGAATCAAAACCTATTTTGTAGTACACAACAAATGTGCCTACTTTGAATTTCAAAATAAACATTTACTTCCAGGTCTTTCCAGGTCTTTCCAGAAGCAAAATTTTTAGTACAGTGTATCTAATACATAGACTTTACTTGAGATGCACATTTATAACTGTCTGTTTCAATTCATTCAGAAAATGCCCGAAATGAAAATTCTCTCATGATTTGGAATATAAAACTGTATACATATTAAATACTTTAGCTTATACTATCTCTCATTTAAAAACATTGATAATATTATTAAAACAATTCAAAAAACGCAGTGGTTGTAACAGTGCTTTATCACATAATGGGTCTGTTTAAATAAGTTCAACTCTTACAAATTTTAACCCATTCAGTACTGATAAAAACATATTCCAATCTGAAAAGTATTTAAATACTGCATAAAATAAATATACGCAACTTTAGTGTTTTTAATCAGTCATTAATATTATACAGTCCTGATGACGTCACATACTTTATACGTTATCTTTTATATGTTAAGTCATATATTGTTTTATATGTTTCAGATTTTATCTGTTTTTCATTTCATAAAAACATTTCAAAGGGGCACTTCGAGATAAAAGTCTGTTTTCTCCTTTTGCCTTACACAGACACGGAGCATGTGTTTCACCAGTCGTTTTCGTCACTGTCGCCATCTTCCAGTCTGCTCTGTCGCACCGCGGAGTCCATGACGTCGTGGATTTCACGTTTCGGCGGTCCCTCCAAGTCCGTCTTCAGAACCCCCACCTCTGATAACATCCATTCCAGCTCTACAACAGAATGTCAACGTAAAAAACAGTCACACTGATATCAGAACTTTTTCTTGATGAGGCTGAAATAATTATGGAAAGGACTTATTAAATTTTGACATCTTTGACAATAGGTTCAGAAATCCCTATTGTCAAAGATGTCAAAATTTAATGAAACTTAAATTAGATACAGAAGCTTAAACTATTAAATATTTTCTTTTTCTGGTAACGTGAAACATAAACAGACTTCATATGACACGTCCTGGACACTCACTGCATGTGAGCTAAAACTAATAGTTACCACACTCTTAACACTATACATGTAGTCATGTGCAATTTGAAAGAATAGCAACGTTAACGTACAACCAAATCATGTCTGGTGCTGAGAAATTTTGAATGTATCAATTCACAACTATTACATTTCTAGGCTAAGTTATTCTTACCGTCTTGTTTAAAGTTCATCCCACCGAACACAAGTGGTCCAACATATTGCTTTTTAAGGTCCCCTTCGAAGTATATAAATATCGTAGGCAGATTCTTATCAGGGTAGTTAGGAATGCATACACTGGACTCACTTCGTAGAAACTTTACGTCGGGAAATTTCTTTGCTAACATTGATATGTGTTGATTTAATAATTTACATAATGGAATTCTGAAAGCAGAAAAAATGTTATTTCATAATTAATGCATTCCATATACAGTGTATATAAAATCTTTATTCCACTCAGATATGTAGTCATTTACTTTGAAAAGTAATTGCTACTTATAAATATAAAAGAGCTATGTTTGCTTTATGCATAAAATGTCCCTGCACTTTTATCAATTAATTAACTATTACCCACTTTCCCATTTCATATATCAAAATAAAATACACATTTGATGCTTTCATTTCCTATTATAAAATTCCTTTTTGAGAATCCAGATATTGGAAAACATACTTTGAAAAATTGCAATGTTCTTGAAATTTGCAGAAAACATGCATATTTGAATACCTACAGCAAAGAATTAAAACGGCCCACAATCCAAAAAGTAAAACATGTTGTCTTTTTTTATCTTCAGAAACAGATCTTTCATTATGTAATTGCATTTTTTGGATCAGAGGTTGTGCTCTATATGAAATTTTGAAAATAATACTTCAACTTTTGGCCATTTTCAAAAGAATTAACAGGATATGAGGAAAATGATGCATTTGTCAAGATGAAATCATAATGCATTTACTAGAGGAAAAATTACATCATCATTAATAAATACAAGGTCACCAGCACTCCAAGTGATAATCCCCTATGTAACCTAAGACTATCTATGAAGAAAAAGCAAACAGTTGAACTGCCCTTGATTTAATATTTGGGTACGGGGCAGTCTAGTTTCATTCACAGCAGATTTTACAGAGCAATAATCGTTTGTTGAATGATGTTCAGTACTTTTTCTACTCTGTAGTACTTACGATTGTATGTAGACATATAGTACCTACGATTGTTTGTGGACATGTAGTACTTACGATTGTTTGTAGACATGTAGAATTACCCAGACCCCCTCCCCTGCTTTGTTGACCTCTGTTACATAATCGACCTTGGATATTTCCTTGACCTCTCCATATTTAGCCTTCATCTGAGCCTGTCGCATCTCCGCCATTCTTTGTCTCCTAATAATGACAAACAACAACATACAAAATGAAAATTATCATAAAAGTTCAAGCTCTGCTTAATCACAGCAGGAATAAAACATCATGGTATCTTGCATGCACACACATGTATATTCAAAGAAGATAATAATGATTCACATTTAAAACAAACTGCAATTATAATCTCTTCAAAAAATCTAAAAGTATTTACAAATTATCTTTATTGCTTTGACTCTTGGAACTACTGAAATTAAAGTTCAGCTCCCTAAAAAAAATTTCTGAAGAATACCGGCAGTAATTTCAAAGGAAAACACATTACTCGGGTGATAATCCTCATTACTAAAATTACAAAGCATAGAATAGTGAACGTTTTCCTAATATGGAAGTATCCAATCCCTCTTTTTAATGAAAGGGACTGAACTAGTGACAGTTAGTGTTACACCCTGGATACTGACCTGTAGACATTTACATCTTTTAAATACTGACCTGTAGACATTTACATGTATAAAATACTGACCTGTAGACATTTACATGTATAAAATACTGACCTGTAGACATTTACATGTATAAAATACTGACCTGTAGACATTTACATGTATAAAATACTGACCTGTAGACATTTACATGTATTAAATACTGACCTGTAGGCTTCAAATATCCTCTCTTCCTCTTCATCAATTTCATCTTCTCTTTCATTAAGTTCATCTATCGTCATATCCTCTAATGTTTTATCTACAGAAATGTTTCATCATCGCATTAATAATTATTATTTCATCATAAACAATGCCTGTGTCAGAATGAACTAAGAAGACAAAATGAGCTGGATTTAACATGTTTAATGGTATAATGACATCTTCTAAGAACTGAACATATTCTCCCTATGACAGGATTTTATCTATAACCCACAGAGTCCTAACATTAATACGTGTAAAATAAATCATTCTGAAAACTTGTAGTTTATACTATGCTAAATTATTTAAGGATAATAAACCTGTTGTTTTGCTTTGGATGGTGGCCTCCATGATGTTAACAATATCGTCCTCTGAGAATTACCTCAAACCCCCTTCAAGGGTCATCATAATCACATAATTTAAGTTTAACTTAAGAAGCAGAGCTTGAAACATATAAATCATTGCTCCTAAGCATTGAAACAAAATGGTTCCCCTTGGAAGTTTTTCTTAAAAATTTTGAAAGCAACTATACCCAGTGGAGATGAAAAGGGGGGGGGATAAAAGACATTTACACATGTTGGAACTGTATCGTTAAGGAACTTAGATATATCAACCATTTATTTACACCATCCAGTAAAATAATACGAATGTATACCAACTTCTAATTCATGTATTTTTAAAAAAAAATTGCATTCCTAATTTCCTTTTTAAGAAGTAGAGAAAAAATAGATTACATGCATTTTAACGATTGTCCTCGAGTTTGTATGACTTGTGTTAGTAACAATATATTTAACCTCCTTTCAGACTGATTTAATACCTTAGATTAACCCACTCTATCAGATTGTGTTACTCATAACATGTGTTTTACACGGAAGTGGCGATTTGAGTGTTTTCATTTCCTTATTTGGAAATTTTACACGATAAAGGTCAAAATACTTATGGTCAGATTTCTTATTTCCGAGAAAAAAATAAACCGGTTTTCAAATAATTTAGTAATATTTACCTACATTTCTCATTTATGTAGACGTTTACTTTAAACATCAATGCATTAATTTACTTCAATATTCAGATCAAATAATTGTTAATTGAGAGCCGATTAATTAGAGTCCGGAAATTTGTTTCGCACATAGCCATACACAAGTTCTATAAATAACAAATTCTGTACAATGTTTTGCTCCTTTTTTACGTCAAATATGAAAATGACGTCCTTTTGTAGATTTTCTCAGTCAGATTCTTTGAAAGAACGACTGTAAAATTCAAGATATATTTTGGAAATTCGTCGTTTGCAGTAGCGTAGGATAATTCGTACACAATTTTAAAGAGACAAACGACTTCCTAGAAATTCAATTAATGATTAGATTGATCGTTTTAGTGAAGATAGGGAGACGGTTGAAAATGGTAATTGTTCTGTCCAGTGAAAACAAGTTTGAAAAGAAATGTGTTTTTGATTAATTATATATCATTTAACGGGAACAATCATCAACAGAGTGAACGTTCGGGAGAGCTCGCTAATATTCCCTATACTTCCAATAGAAATGTTCTCCGCCCGCTCTGTTTGAACAGACCTCAAGTTTTGCAGTGTTTAGAGCTGTCTTTCTTTTAAATTCGACTTAAATTAAACGTGTTGATTTTTTTCAATGATTGGTAATTCTACATTACTTTTAAATAAATTTCACGTCAATGTACGTATACTGTATACAGAGTTATTTTCGCCCCATGTTAGTTTTGCACTTTCAGACCTGCAAAAAATAACCATGTATCGGACACTTTCCGATCTAAAAGAAATCTAAATTTTCCATGAAAATACATAGTATCAATATTAGTCATTTAGAAGTTGATTAAATTTACTTCTACAAACCGGAGTATTACGATTATTTTTAGCCTTTCTAAAGCAACCCAAGGCATCTTGATTTTTTTTTACACTTGTGCAGCACTATCGTCGATTAGATTTAAGTTGAAAAATAATTTTTCAGTAAAAGATAAAAGTAAATATAAATAATTTTTAAAGTGCTTTGATAAAGGTGTGATATTTTGCAAATACCGTTTGTTCGAAACATGGTAAAATTGTCTGATTCATGTTGAATTTAATTAAGTTGTTTAAAAATAAGTTCGTAATTTTAATTTCTCAATGAAAAGCCTACAACTGTGTCTCAATACTAAATTTATATTTAAATGACACACTAAAAGATAAGCTAGAATTTGTGATTTTCCTTCTGTAAAGATATACCTAGAACTTGTTGAAGTAGAAGGACATGTTGAATTCACCGTATACAATTCTTCCAATTCTTCATGTATGGCAGTTAATTTGCTATGTATTAAAATAAATTCATTTAAAAAACCAAATTAATTAAATATAAGAAGAAGAAAGCAAAAATCTTTGTTTTTGTCAACTCGATTACTCAAACAGCGAAGATTAAAGAAAGTATGGATTTTTAAAAGGAAAACAACCATTACATGTAGAAACTATAAGCCATAATTTAGATCTTTATTGTGATTTTTCTTCTAAACTTTACAAGAAGAGAACCCAAATTTAACATAATTTAATAGTAGCAAGATATCCATATAAATGATCATATTGGGTAGAACATTTGTACAATTTGGTGTCTTAAATCAAGGTATAGCTACGGTACATTTATTGTCACCATCTGAAATTTAACATCTTCCCGGGGTGGATCTTGAGACATTTAATGTTTTTTTTTTTTTCGGAGGGGGGTCTACGTTTCAGCGGCAATCGGAATTTTTCCCTGATTATAGGTAACATCAGAGATATCACAACGTATGGCAGTTTTCATGTTTTGTGGAGGAAAAACTAAATATGTACCCAATTACGGAGGCGGTTCAAAAATTACGCGGACTATGCTATTATTTACTCTTGCAGGCGTCATATATTTATGAAATTTAACAGAAATATGTATCTCAAAGATTCTAATAAATTTTGGGCAAAATTTCTGTATTTTAAAAAAATTCTACTAAAATTATCGGTATGTTGATATCGCTAATGGAGAGGTACGGAGCACGACAAAAAAATATGAAGCAAAAACATGCGGAATCCAAAATTTAACTCATTTATTTTCTATGATTCGCGAAATTTTTCGACAGTTTTCTCAGAAGTATCTTTAAATTGTTCTATTATAACGTTTTTAGATTTCTGACGAGATATTTGAAGTACTAACGGAAATATTGTGATTTTTTTCTGATGCCATTCCTGTGAAAACGACTGTGAAAATGACGTCTCGTGAATTGACGGCGCACCAAACTTTAGTTAAATCATGTGTAATGTTCGAGATATCGCCAACATAGATCCAAAATATGCATAATAAAACATTAGTAAACTAGGCTATTCGTGTCATTCGTCCACAAATAGCAAAATTGGAATTTTAGACCGTTAGACCTCTGTAAAAAGGCTATACTGGAGAACGGGAAGAAGATTATAGACGAAAACATCCGGACTGTAAAGAACGTGATTGAGAGTCACCAATATCACACAATATGTCATAAATACCTGCAGTTTTTGGTTTTAAAACAAAAAAAGAATATTCTTTACTTGCTTAATATACTGTAAATGTATTATATTTGGCGTGTATGATATTTGGCGTAAATTGATTTTTGAACATGTTAGCGTAGATTTGATTTAGCGCATTTATTTATGTCCTTATTTATAAGAATATGTTTAAGACATTTAGCGTTGTACTTGAATTAGCGGAAGTTTCTTTCCACCAAAGCCGCTAAAAAGAATACACAGCCAAATGTAATACGTTTACAGTATTTTAAGCTTGACAAGAATGGTGTATGGATTTCGAGTAGAATAGGTAACCCAAATGTACAGGTACTTTTTGGAAAATGTTGAGGAAAATGAAATCTCAATCACATATTTTTTTAAAATGCCTGTAACGTCAAAGATTTTGCTGCTCCGTGACTTAATGATATGTCCTGAAAAATCACTCAAAATTGATACCAATTTACAAAATTTTGATATGAAATTTTGAAGACCATAAAAGTAAAGATTTTTGTGTGATTATGTGTGACATTTTATCCGATTCTGTCGTCAATTATTTTTTTTTCTATGCAAAATGTCTTTGAAATTTTTGAACGACCCTCGTAGAACGTACAAAAGGAGAGGAACACTGTGAAATAAGAATTGTGTTAAGGTATTATTCTCTTTTATCTATTAGTAAAAGATGATTACAGATATCAGATTGATACCATTAAATTAAGAAGAAGAATGACAATGTTTGAAAACATAAAAAAATTACAAAGTCAAAAAGGAAACGTCTTGTCAGAATAAATACACATGTGAAATATGGAAGCCCTAACTTTTGCTGTTTAAAAATTATGACCAAGGTTAATGTGCGGTATTTTTGAATAAAAGTAGGTAAAACTCCATGATCATGGTGAATAGGTCAAATTTGGTGGACTTAAAGAAAGGTCCCGTGAAATGTGAAAGTCAATGCACCACCCAGTTAAAAGTTTACAACAAACTGACGGATTGATTTTCCGTGAAATCCTGGCTGACGTAAAGGAGGTTGATTTCTTTTACCCCACCTCTGTTGATTTTTCCGTGAAATCCTTGATTACAAGTGGTTAAATTCTGTCACGTGAAGGCGGTGGATTACTTATACCCGATCAGTTGCACATCTAGACCCGGTCAGGTATAAATCTATACTCAGTCGATGTATTATGTAACAAACATAACGTGACTTCATAATAGGATCAGTATGAGCGTGATGAAGCATTTATCAGAGAAATCCATTTAAAAATCACAGATAGTAGAAAAAAAAACAGCGAATGTAAGCATTACGTAAATGTTTCATCGGTGGGGTAAATTCGTTACATCATCCCATACCCTGTCACTAAAAGAGTATGTAACTAATAATACCCCTGGGATCTTTCGATTCGGCGGCATAAAATATCAACAATGATAAAGACGACAAAAACGTTTAAGGCATCGGACAAATTTTGATAAGAGAGACTTTAGTCAATTCAGCCTTCAGTCAATTTAAGATATCTTTCGGGGTCCTAGCCTGTTAGTTATTTCTTCATAAATGTTAAGGACAGATGATACAAACAAATGTTTTCTTTGAAAAGATTTAATATCATGTCACAAGCTTAGAAAAGTGGATGGTTCTTAGAACTAGAAAATGAAATAGACTTGGAAAATATTAGTAAAATTTCAATTAAAAAAAAAACAAATATAGACAAATCAAATTCAGTAAAGGTTTACAGATGAAAACAAAATTCAGAATACTGTAAACCAACTTTTATTCGTGTGCGAAAAATTTTCGCAAAGTTTGCGAGAACGTCGTAATCGCAAATATTTCTCGCCGCAAACTGTTCCTCAATGTCTCTGTGTCTATTAACAACAGATCCAAAATAGGTTTGATCGTGAAAATTAATTGTCGCGAACTAGTTTACCCCTGGTAAAAAACGAAATAAAGTCGTCGCGAATAAAAGTTGGTTTACAATATGTTACCTTGGTGCTAAAAGTGCAATATAAACTTTTGAAAAATATACCAAGTCAGGTTAATTTTAAGAGGACGAAGAAAATGACAAAAAATTAGCAGTATCACTGATTTTTACCATTTAGCTTTTCCTAACTCCTAAGCATTTGCTTACAAGGTCATTGTATCGACCGTAGAACTAACGGAATGATGACTTCAGACGAGACAGCTGATATTCTTGTTTCATCAATTTGTTGGTCACAATAGCCTAATGGAAGACCGTTAGTATCTTTAAAGAAGGTTTGTGCTGAATTTTTTATTATTCATGAATATATAAAAACACCTGAAATCAGATTGATTGATTGCATATTGTGTTATGTCCCTTTCGGGAATTTTTCTTTCCTCTTTTGCTGCGCCACGTCATACCTTAGACGTAAACATAGGTATTGACTGTTTCTTCGCCAAGCACTCGGCACTAGAAGTGACAGTCATCCGATTTTTCGGATATGACTTTAAAAACGTAGGTCCCGTTTCATGGAAGGCGTTACCACGATAAAAAAAAAAACCCTCACTACTCAATAGCCTTGAGTGCCGAGTATGTGTCTAAATTTGAAGCCCTTCCCTGGCATACGGTGACGTTTCCATATGAGTGAAAAATTCTCAAGCGGGACGTTAAAAAATGTACAATAAATCAATCATCAACTTGTTTGTCAATGATTTACCTCGTTTTAGAAATTATTTATACGTAGAACATACCCTGGCGTATTGAATCATCGGAGAAATACAAGCTCCCTGTCAACATAGATATTGGTTACCATTGTTGACAGTACATCGATACATCTAAATGTCAAGTTAAAGGCCATAGCATGTGTTCCCTTCTTCTCACGTATAAGATTTTGCACAAATTCTGCTTCACATAAATTAAAAAATATCCATGTATATCTATTATCTTAATAGAAGGTTTGTGCTGATTTTTTTTTATTCATGAATATATAAAAACACCTGAAATCAGATTGATTGCATATTGTTTAATGTCCCTCTCTGGAATTTTACACAAATATAGAGACGCCACCACTTGCTGGTGATAAGTTGCAAATTTTGACCTATATTAAGTACTCAGGACAATTAAGCGGAGAGAGGCCTTTGTCTTGCGAGCTCCTACTACGACACGGGGCCTCGGTTTATACGGTCTCATCTGAAGAACCGGTCTTCACGTCCCACACTGGGTTTCGAACCTGCGACGTATGTTGGGATTAAATCCTTGCTTTGCGACTCTAGAACAGACGCTCTGACCACTTGAAATCGGAAGAATATTCAGTATGATTATACCACCATAGAGATATTGTATGTGAACTTTAAAAACGTAGACTTCACATCTAATGGACTTTCTCTTTGACAAGGATTGATTATTTCATGAGTACCGCAAAAAATTTATAAGCAAAAATATTACAAAAATTAAAGCTTATGTACGATGCATATGTGTATACACAAAATACATTTCTATGAAGCCATATTTTAATTTCCACGTAATTTTTCCCCTGTCTTTTTAGATGCAAAGAGTTATGCTGCTATAGTCGGTTGGATAACGATTCCATTGTGTTTCGTAGTATCGTATACAACTGCTGTTGATAATGATAAAGATAGGAAAGATTTACTGAAACAGTATTCTTATCTTTGTGGAAATGATCATATATGTGATGAAAACGGTTTTTCGAATACAACAGAAGTGGAACATGAAAACCTCACCATGCCATGTCCTAGGTGTGGCTGTGATGATTTCTGCTCGGTGACTGGAGAATGTTGTATAGATATAGAATTCAACACGTGCGTGCGAACGTCATTTGGTTCAGAGTGGGCGACTGATAAAATGTTTTACATGAAAAATTACTGTCCCCACAATGCAGAAAAAGAACTTGTAAGTAGATGTCAAGCTGCAAATACAAATGAAAATTTGTTTGAAAGAAATCCAGTGACTTCAAAATCAACCAACATAACTTACAGTAATATTTACTGTGCCAGATGTAATAACGATTATAATGTCCTACCATGGAACATATTTACAAACTGCATCATCAAACTGGAAACTTTCACAACTCTGGATGAGTTGTGGATATATATTCTAAACGGAAATCTTTCTTTTGAGTTCATTCCGACATTGGAAATGCGTAGGAACATGCAGGTTCCAAGAAGCTGTAACCCTCATCTTATCAACCAATGCAACTGGCGTGGCAAAGAAAATCAACTACAATACTGAAAAAGGTTGCAACACTTTATATCAACCGACGGGATTCTTCCAGAATCCTTTTTGCCTATTGTGTAACACTCACGATGAGACATTCGATACACCAATTTCTATGTGCAATGCTACGGGAGGTATACAAGAAATTGACGAAGATTTGCAGAGTTCATGTGTAAATGAAACATTGAATGTTTTAAATTATCCTTATAAAAATGAATACTGCGAGAAATGTAATATAATAAGAACAATAAATGAAGATGTTGAGTTGGATGATGTAGTATTAACAATTGATATGTCTGACGCCGTATTATCAGTCGAAATCTACCATAAACCTATTCAGAAATTCATTCAATTAAAGCCTCAAAACCAAGTTTACTTATCGGAAATAAGAATAATTGCAATGGATTACACAGAAGATTCTGCAATAAACAAATATCTAACAAAAATTAAATTTGGATTAATCAACAATCCGAAACCAGCAGGTGCTAAGGAGTTTGGCTGGAGAAAGAAGGAGGAATGGTGCAAAAAAGCAGAAAATTATTTCTTTCCTGATAATACAATACTAGATCCTCTGATAAATGAACCTTCTTGCTCATGTCATTCTAACTGCAGTGAACTTGGCAGCTGTTGTAACGTCAAAGGCAGCATTCAGAATGACGTCAAAAAGTGGGGGTGTGTGCAGACATCTTTACCACGATCCAGAGACTCTTATCCTAATTCTTTTTTTATGATTAGTAAATGTGCAAATAAATACGAAAATACTATAATAAAGAGTCTTTGTGAAGCAGACAGCAACGCTGATCTAAGTCTGCTACCGGTTACAGACAGTCGTAATTTAAAAACATATCAGAACTTATTCTGCTTTCTGTGCTCAACCTTAAATTCGAAAAGAATTGATCAACAAAAGTATATATTTCCATGGAAGATGCACATTGAATGTCCAAACATCTTCAACTTTAAGCGTGAGGTAAAGTTTGGGTCTTTGTTGCAAAAAGCCTTGTCCAGAAATTGCCTTCTAGATGTTTATCCATATCTGCGATACCTACCACCAAATTGTAATTTTCCAGGAACTAAAAAACTGTATTGTTCATTATGTGAACAATCTGGAAAAGTGCCAGAAGGTTGTGGTAAAACCAATATAAAAGACCCGGATTATCGTTCAATCTTTTCGATAATGGAAGACGTTGATGAAAGTTATGCAAACAACCAAGGAAAGCAATGTTCAACAAAGGAAATGTATGATAAATACACGGTAAGGTCTTATCATCATATGAAAAAGAGTAAATGAAAAAATAAGATTGTTTGAGAAGAAAAAAAATCGGCTTCAGAAATTATCTTTTAAGTATTACAAAACAGTATCGAAATTTTAAATTACATTTTGAAGGGTTTCTTTCATTTTTTTTAAAGTTGTCAGGATTTTTTTTCAGAGAAAGTGTCGCAGTCTTTTCTGTCCTTTGGGAAAGCAGCTAGTGAATGGACAATGTATACCTATGTTTTTATCCTTTATATCTAAAACTTACAACATTGCATTTACGGCGAGCTTTAACACCAGCTACGGTAAAAGAAAAATACACGTTGACCATTTATTTGGATCAATAACATCCCTTTTAACAGATGGCCTTTTTAACGATACCAATTTAATGATCAGGATCTTAAACTATCACTTTTTCTTCAATAGGGAATGTCAAAAGATAGTAACGATATCAGAATCTCATCCTTTAATATAAAGAGCGTTTATAAAAGTTCACATAGAAAACAATTACATTTTCTCAAAAAAGCATGTAGATAGAAACGTAGTGGAGTCTCGCCTTTTTAAAGCTGCCACGAAAAAAGGTTTAAGTGGTAATATTTCCTACGAATATAATGAAGATGCCAAGGGGTGGTTTCTACCCAGCATAAAAATGCTTTTCCATATCATTCACATTGTAATAAACGATTCCAGACTCAGTACATAGGTATTGATGGGGCTGGGGGCATTGACGTCACGAAGCTTTTATTTTGTCCCCAGATATCCCTTTCACTGATGGAATTTACTTTTTCAAATGACCAATTGGTAATTTCTGTACATCTTTTAAATAAAACATTTTATTACAATCAGTTCGTAATAGCTGAGAATAAATCAGTTCGGATATGCGCCAGTGATTATGATTCTATTGATCATTTAAAGTCTTATGACGTATCATCCCTTCTTCACTCGACCTCAGTCAATTTACTTCAGATACTAACAATTATTACAACAAGTATTTCTCTTCTTTCTATTGTTACAACATTTATTGTGTACTGTATTCTCAGAAAGCTTCGCACAATACCTGGTCAGAATTTGATGTGTTTTATGTGTTCCCTGTTCTTCGCACAACTGTTTACCCTTGTCAAGGACATCTTCTCCCGTAACAGCTTGGCTTGTACAGCTGTTGGTATGTTAACGTATTACTTCTGGATTTCAGTATTTACATCTGCCACTGCTTGTTGCCTTCATATGTTCTGAGTCTTCGCTTGTACTGTCCAGTTCAACAGTAAAAACCCCTGCAATCGTACAATGTCCATGTACATCTTATACACATATCTGACCCCGCTTATTTTCATCGCCATCACTATTGGATATCACATGAATCGTTCGTCGTTTTCCTTGACTGGATTTGGGGGTAGTATGTGTTTTATGAATGGCGTAAGAACTAAAGTATTCTCTTTTATCGTTCCGATCTCTGCGATTTGTTTCGTTAATGTAGTGTTGTTCACCATTACACTTTGTAAAATTTATCACTCTCCTGAAATTGAAAGTGGTCCCAGTCGAAATGATCTTTCATTATATCTAAAGTTATTCCTACTGACGGGAGTAACATGGGTATTTCAGATAATCGATGGGTTCTTTGACATCTCCCCGTTCTCGTACTTAGTGGCTGTATTGAATGGGTCACAGGGGCTTTATATCATGATATCATTTGTATTTAATGGTAGAGTCAAACGAATGTTTCAAGAGAATGGTGTGTCTGATAAACCGAGGCTCAGAAATCAAGATGTAAAGGATTGACAATGTACAGGAGAGGTACAGATGAAAACTTATGGAAAAACCCTCTTAGAATGAATATTCGCTAATATATGCCGTGAATATTTATGAATATAACCGGTGTTACGATGATTTATCAACCTTATGGTGAATTGTTTTTTCTAGAGATTTTCAATATTGCTATATTTCCCTTTGATGTTGCGTTTATAAAGATATATGTTAGAATATAATTTGCACAGTATTCGAAGACACCAACACTTCTTGGGTTTATTCGTTAAAAGCTTGTGATCAAGTTGGTGTTGTCCTTGCAAAATATCGATTTATTAAAACCAGTGTAATACCCTAAAATGAATCATCAAATATTTTATTTGATAATAAAATGATTTTTTGTGTAATGAATATTACTTCATCTACCCTCTTTTTTTGCATGTAAACTTCCTCAAACCTAATTGGTAAAAATCAGCCTATGTGATATTGCTAATTTTTTGTCATTTTGATCTTCCTCTTAAAATTCACCTGGCTTGGTATATTTTTCTGAAGTTTATATTACACTTTTAGCACCAAGGTAACATATTCTGAAATTTGTTTTCACCTGTAAACCTTTACTGAATGTGATTTGTCTATATTTATTTTTTATTGAAATATTACTAATATTTTTCAAGTCTGTTTTTTTTCCAGTTCTTCAGAGAAAAAATTCTAAGAACCATCAACTTTTCTAAACTTTTAAAATGATATTAAATCTTTTTCAAAGAAAAAAATTGTTTGTATCATCTGTCCTTAAGGAGAAAATGACATGACGTCACAAGGACCTTCGTAACTATTGATTATTTTGCTGTATTGATTACAAAACATTTCTCTGTCCTAAATGTTTGCCTTAGCCCATAATGGTCACCGAATGTTAGATTTAGAAATAGCTTACAATGAAAGAAGGAAATGTTCGAGATCCGAGACATTTTTATTTACCACAAATGAAGCAAAATCTACAGATAAAGCGGGAAAGTGTTCCTACTTTGTTTAGTCACATAGTTAAAGAAAAAGAAGGGACAAAAGATTATATTTCTTATCTTGAAGAATTGTCATAAAATCTAAACAAATGTTTATCATCCGAGAAAGCTTCTGATTTGATTACGTTTTACTGGGAAATAAATAGAACTTCCAGAAAGGCAACGCCCGAGGAGAGACAGGCAATTTTACCAAAATTTCAAGAAGGAACAATGAACACAGTAGAACTAGAAAAACAGTTTGGTAAAATCAACATGACATTGAAAAAACTGAAGAGGCTCTGAAAATTCCTAAAGCAGAAAGAATGTATAATAATGACACAGGAAGATGTAACCTTCAACTATCAAAGCAAACAGTGAGAGTTAGGAATATCAATCTTTCGGTATTCAGAAGTATATTTCATATAACGCGAATTAAATCTGGCAATTTTTGGGCAAGTGACAATGAAGGAAATCTCAATCAGTTTGACCCAAAAGGAAAGTTGAGAAAACAAATATCTACCGGCAGAAGTTCATATGGCTACCATGCAGTCACCGATGAGGGAGGATTGCTGTATGCAGTAAGAGAAAAGAAAGCTGTTTTCAGACTGTCAACCGATATGATGGAGAAGAAAATAATTGACACAATGTGCTGGGTGCCACAATCAATATACACATCTAAAATAAACGGAGATATACTTGTTGGCATGGATCATGAATCAGATTGGGAAGTTTGTAAATTGACTCGATTTAGTACAGAAGGGATAAAGTTTCAAAATATACAAAAGAATGAAAAAGGGAGAAAACCTCTATAAAAGTACCCACTACATCACAGAGAATATAAACGGTGATATTTGTACTTCGGATACCCGTGGAGAAAAAGTGGTAGTTGTGACAAAATCAGGCAAGCACCGATTCTCTTATGATGGACACCAAGTCCAGACAGAATTCCAACCCTGTGGAATTTGTACAGACGCTTTGTGACACATCCTGGTGTGTAATGGTTTTTATGGTTTCTGTAGTAGAATCTTCAGCATCCATTTGATAAACAAAGATGGACGTTTTCTTGGTTTTATACTCGGACCACAACAATGCCCCGCAGCACCAAACACACTCTGTATTGATGAAAAACATAACCTCTGGCTGGGGACGGAGGATAACTCGTCTGTCCTTGTGTATAAATACCTCGAAAACAAAGACAAGTCATAAAGTTTTGCTGCATAAGTATCAAGCACATGCGTAGAGCCATGAATCATAAAGTATGCGGTTTGCTCTGAGAATTATAATTATAAATACACTGTAAATGTGTCAATTTTATTCGGACGGCTAAGCGGATTAGACGAATAGTCGGAGGCTTTAGTTAAACTATAGTCGAATATGCGTTTAACTTATTTTTTATTTGCATTGCATTTAATTCCTACTACGGTATTTGTCATTTAAAACTATACTCAACAAAAAAAGAAACGCATATTGTTTTATTCGTCAAAGAAATTTTTAAAATGTACATGAAACAATTATTTTTTATATCATTGGATACCTGTGACCTATTTAAAGGACAACATGGGGTTTTGAAACCAAAGTGTTGAATTATCTCCCTTGATTAAACATGTTTATGAAAGTGGTGTTTTTCATGATTTCTTCTAAATCAGATGTCTATTTTCATTGATATTTTGGATTTAAAGAAACTTTTAACACTTCTATTAAACCCATATTTAAGATTTTATTGCAGTGTTAATACTGCAAATCCACGCCCAAACAAAGATGAATAAAAACAGGCTAACGATGATACTAAATGGAGCTACGCAACAGGAAGTTGCAACTGTATTTGAAATAAATCAATGGGTTTTGCAACCTTAAAACTAACGTCTGAAGACCACTATCTGGCCATCCGCAGGTAATCACAACCAGGCAGGACCGTCAGACCCCCCCCCCCCCCCTTCATCACTTCACGCGATTCAGAA